CCCCTATTTGGCCTAGAAATGCGCCTTGTGTTTAGGCCATGATCCTTGCATAGATTCAAACAAAGGTTGGGCCGGGACAGCATGGGATAGATTTCCATGTCTTGGAGGTTCCTGCAACTTTCAACCTGCTTTTAGGGCGGCCGTGGCTGCATCAGGCAAAGGCAGTCTCCTCCACCCTACATCAAGTGGTGAAATACCCCTATGGGAAGGGAGTAGCCATCGTCTTCGGAAATTCATCGATTCATCCGCCGCCAGAAGTATCCACGCCTGTTCTAGAAATTGAACACAGTATGGAAGATGTGTTCATATCGGGTTTTACCTTGGCTGAGGCTCGAGTTGTACAGGGCATCATGGCTACTAATGAAGGGGTATATGTCAGTGCTCAGGCAGTCTATCTCATGAACAAGCTCCAACACATCCCCGGGATGGGATTGGGCAAAGCGGCAGGAAAGGCGTCGCAGCATTGGCCGAAGTGCCACACAACCCTCATACCTTTGGATTAGGTTATCTACCCACCAAAGAGGACTGGATAAGGAAAGGAAAGGAAATGGCCGGAAGAGCCAGAGCAAAGAAGGCTGGGAAGCCTTTCGAGTTGATGCATAGGCCCATTCGGGGTACCCTAAACGGACGCTTCGTCCGGGAGGGGGAGGACTTTCTGTTTTGTGGCTTCCCAGAGCCATGGCTGAACGCGGAGAAGAAACGCGTGCCAGGTTTCGAGATCTTCTTTGACCTACAGCTACCTGAGAATGACAACGTCGAAGGGGAGGCAAACCTATCGGTTGAGGCTGAACAAAGTAAGGAAGTGCAGTCTGAGGACGCTAAAAATGAAATGGGGGCAGCACTGGCGTGTCTGCTTTCAAATCCTCCGATCGAACAGAAGCGCTTGGGGATAACTCCTCGGTATGCGTGATCGGGAATGAAACGGCTGCGGGCCTACCATCAACTATTTTGGATGCATCCATCGCACCCTCTCTCGTCTGGCAATATGAAGAAGGATTAGGTTCCCTAGATGGGTCCTCTTGACCACCACCACCACCACCACTAACTTCGGCTTGATCATCAGACTCCTTACCAGACACACCAACATCTTGTTTAGCTTCATCTTGAGATCGCACAAAGTTCTCGCTCTTTCTCTCATTCTTGAGTGGGCTCCCTTCAATAGCACCTTGCTCAACAGAAAAGGAAACAGCTTTGGAAGCTTCAGCGATCATGTTCACCTCATTTTTCTGGGATTGCCCACCAGATACAGATTTCAACCCATTTCCTACAAACATCTCTTGTTGTCGTCGCTGCATTGTTGCTGCACCACTAGTATAAGGGTTCATAGATTCAGAAATACCAGAAGGGTTCATCATCTCACTAAAATTCCCCCCACTGAAGCACGAGAACCTCGCTGCCCGCTCAATGAAACCAGAATTTGCAGGAAACTGAGATAAGCTCTGAGGAAGCATTCCAGGAGCAGATGGTAAACAAATACCCCCTTTCACAATTGAATTTGGTGGTGTCCAACCCATATCAATTGTTTTCTCAATACTCAAAGGACCCAGAGGACCTTTCCTAAGTCCCAGCGTGTTTGAAGTGCTAGCACTATTCTGCAAATTAATGTCACAGAAACCCAAGTTTTGGGCATTTGTGGGGTGGTCCCAAACTGTTGGGCGGAATGCGTCCATAATAGGGGCAGAGGAACAGGAAGGAGACTCCATTATACCTCCTTTATAAACTTCCATGGGATTGCTAGTGGGAATTGAGAGATTGGACACACCAAATCGCCAGTCCGAGGCCGCATTGGCTGAATGGTAGCTCATAAGATGATCTTCATTCCCTTTGACTTGCTCAAAATTATCCTTCCCACCCATATCCATTTCTCCCCAACAAAGAAGAGATAACTTGATTACGGGTTGAACCCGAAAAATAAGCTATGCAAATTGAAACTACAAAACTGGAGCCCCCATATGCCCTAATTCCTCAATAGCCTCAACAAGATCAATGACCTAGAAAAAATGGAGAAGTGAAAGACAACATTTACAACCATATCAACCCATATTCATTGCAACAATTTCACAATTATGTTTCAGTCAAAACCGAAATTTTTCAAAGAAACAGAAAATGCAATGGCAACAGTGAACACAGATTTATTTTTTATTTTTTATATTTTTGTTTAGAAGCTCAGCTCAAAAACACCATAAAACAAAGAAACTATGCAAGTTGTCCAAACTAGATGCACCGAAAACAGCTACCAAGTAGTAACAGGAATAAACCTCATCAATTCATGAGCTTGAAGAAGAAATTTCTGAAGCATTAAATAAATAAATAAACAAGTACCACCAAAATATGTACCAAAGATCACACAAGTATACAACCACTGCTATTTCGAAAGGTATCACTGAATATGTACCCAAATTACACAAACGAAGCCCCCAATGACTAAGAAAACACAAACCCAGTTCGGTAAAGAGCTCATGAAAGTGTCCAGAAGGCAATCAATTAGGCCCTAATCATTGATTTCATCATCATAATTACCCATTCAAACACTGCAATAAAAACCCTAGTCAGAGTAACAGACCCCCCCAGCTCTCAGAGAGAGAGAGAGAGAGAGCTAAAAGTGGGAAGAGAAAGATACCCATTTCAGATTCTACGCTACTTTTGGTACTGTGTCTTCCATTTTGAAGCTTTTCACTGATGAGTACTTTTATTGAATTTGGGGGCTTCGTTCAAAGTTCAAAACTCCTATCTTTTAGCTCCGTCAACTGATATGTACAGTCAATTTTTTTATGCAAATTAAAAATAGATATTTAATTTTTTTCATGATGTTTCTCATAATTTTATGAATTCATAACGTATATATATATATATATATATATTTTGGTGGTGAAAATTAGGAAATATTGTATATTTTTAAAAGATTTGTGTATATTATATTGTTCATATTTTTGTTTGAAATATATACCAAGTAAATGTTATATTACACATAGTTATAGATATTTAGTTTGCATTACATTACACTTATAATTCATATGTATATTATTATTAAAAAATATGAACAATTTAATATATAATAAAGATGAGGACACCAATTTATTATAACTGTCCATGTTTCTCATAATTTTATGAATTCATAATGTATATATATATATATATATATTTTTTTTTTGGTGGTGAAAATTAGGAAATACTGTATATTTTTAAAAGATTTGTGTATATTATATTGTTCATATTTTTGTTTGAAATATATACCAAGTAAATGTTATATTACACATAGTTATAAATATTTAGTTTGCATTACATTACACTTATAATTCATATGTATATTATTATTAAAAAATATGAAGTATATAATATATAATAAAGATGAGGACACCAATTTATTATAACTGTCCATGTTTCTCATAATTTTATGAATTCATAATGTATATATATATATATATATTTTTTTATTTTTGGTGGTGAAAATTAGGAAATACTGTATATTTTTAAAAGATTTGTGTATATTATATTGTTCATATTTTTGTTTGAAATATATACCAAGTAAATGTTATATTACACATAGTTATAAATATTTAGTTTGCATTACATTACACTTATAATTCATATGTATATTATTATTAAAAAATATGAAGTATATAATATATAATAAAGATGAGGACACCAATTTATTATAACTGTCCATGTTTCTCATAATTTTATGAATTCATAATGTATATATATATATATATATTTTTTTATTTTTGGTGGTGAAAATTAGGAAATACTGTATATTTTTAAAAGATTTGTGTATATTATATTGTTCATATTTTTGTTTGAAATATATACCAAGTAAATGTTATATTACACATAGTTATAAATATTTAGTTTGCATTACATTACACTTATAATTCATATGTATATTATTATTAAAAAATATGAAGTATATAATATATAATAAAGATGAGGACACCAATTTATTATAACTGTCCATGTTTCTCATAATTTTATGAATTCATAATGTATATATATATATATATATTTTTTTATTTTTGGTGGTGAAAATTAGGAAATATTGTATATTTTTAAAAGATTTGTGTATATTATATTGTTCATATTTTTGTTTGAAATATATACCAAGTAAATGTTATATTACACATAGTTATAAATATTTAACTTGCATTACATTACACTTATAATTCATGGGGAACTTACTGATAAGTCTCATGTACCAAGTTCAAAACCCAGCTAATCCCAAAACAAAATACTTACACCAATTAGTCCAATACATTTTTAATTGTTACCAAAAAATCCTTTTTTTTTTTTTTTAATTTACAGACATTGTTCACATCTTACTACCGTAGGACTTTCAAAAATGGGCGGGCCAGCAAATAACCCCATCAGGGACGGCCTGCTGGACTAGACCAATTTTCAACCACTTTAATACCCTCACTTGAGTGATAGGCTTGTGTTACCAAGCCCGGCGATGTTAACCTGTTTGGTGGCTCTTTAAATGGAACAAAACTATGTTCTAATATTTCGATGTGGGAATAGAACAAGTTAAGATGTCAACTGCTCTCCAATCTCTCTTTCAACTTACTCTTGTGCACGTGCAGTCCCTAAAGCAATCTTGACACGTGTGTTCCAGGTCAATGGCTTGCTAAATTCATCTGAGAGATGGAGGAAGTCATAAAGAGAACCATTTTTATGGAACTCATATACCAGCAGGTGCTGTCCATGCTCTGAACAATAACCAACAAGCTCTGTTATATTTGGATGCCGCAACCGGGATACGTCTGAAACTATATCCATAAAATCTTCAGACAAGTGATTTGGAAGAGCAGATGAATTTATTTTCTTCACAGCAAGAACCTGTAATATCATCAAAAGACATAAAAGGTGAAATCATTAAACAAATGATTTGACCACTGGGTGAAAAATGAGGAAAGGTCAAAGAAACCCAAAAAAATGGTTCATTCAAACTGTTTTTGTTCAGATGCCCATCGGGAATTGTGGACAATAAAGAAATAAGGGAAGGGGCATTGTATAGTATTATGGAAGCCACTCTGGTGAATTTATTTTTCTTTTTTTCTCCTCTTGGTCTTCAAAATTAATAATTCAAGTAGTACAAGCAAAGCATGTGCATGTTTGAGATAGATGTTTCTTAATGAATGATGATCCCTACAACTAAACACTCTTCCCTACTTCAAATTTGCCGTGTTGCAGGAACATAATTATCTGTCATAAATAAATATACTATTCACCAAGATTAAGAAACTGTAAGCATTAAGCTCAAGAGAGTACCTTTCCGTCATCTAACTGAGCCCGATAAACACTTCCAATGGACGCCTCGCCGACATGAGTTTCAACACTAAAGCTGTCTGTAGCCATCTGCAGGTCTGCTATTTAATATGATATAGCATTTACTGGAGGTGTATGGACTTTCTTGGGAACAATGGGAACAATGGAATTGTACCGCATAGATTTCATCTGAAATGAGTGATGCACGATGAGCATATGGGATAGCTGAATTTTGGTCATCATGGACATCTGTCACTGGATTGCCCAACAAATATCCCTAATGATCACTCCCATTCAAAGAAAACAAAAATGAATAATAATAAATAAATAAATAAAATTATGAACTGAAAATTCTTATCTGTTTGGTTGTGTTTTTGTTATTTGTTTTCATTTTTTTATTTTTTTGAAGACAAAATAATGAAAAGTTTGAAAAGTATCCATCATTTTCATTTTTGAGTGAAAAAAAATTTAAAAATAACTTTTTGATGTTCTATTTCCTAAAAATGAATTGTTTTAAAAAAAATTCCAAAAAAGTTTCATGAAGAAGGAAAACAAAAAACAAAAAACACAACTAAACAATTGGAATAAGCTGAACAATCGATTAAAGTTTTAAAAATAGATCATGTACTTGGTTCATTGTTGGTTGATGCCCAAGTTCATTACCTACAAGAAACAAAGGTAGTCACTGCAAAGTCAGAAAAGTTTTACCATTTTTTCTATTCTATTTATAAACTACTAATTTCATCTATAAAATTCTGATTTCATTTCAAATAATTTAATTGAAAATAGTTCAACCAAACCAATAATCATAGAAACCTAACCTACTGGGCCAAAATATAATTTTACAATTTTAACAACATAAATCACACAACCAAACTCCTTTCTTTGGACTTACACTATATTAAACAATTTACACTCTATAGCCAAACACATAGCTTGATTATATTGTTTAAGTTGTTCAAATTTTGAAATGACATTTCTGCCCATCAAATTAGGATTTAACAATTATTGATTTGGACAACTGTCTCCAATTAGACCACATCAGCTGAAATTAGAAATAGAGACTTAATAGATGAAATTAATAAGTTAAGGATAAAATAAAAATAAGGAAGATTATTTAAGAGATAAAAGCAAAGTCAGTAATAATAATAAGAAAAAAGGTTTTTGTGATACCGGATAAAATTTCCTGAATAATGATGGGAACAACCAAACCAGACCAGAGTAGGAATCACCACCAATGTACAATGGATTATCAAGAAACTTGAGATGATCAATCAGCCACTGTGTCACAATAACATAAAATAGAATAAATGAAATGAAGATTTTAGTTAGTTTTAACTATAAGAATGCAATAATAGTGCAATTAACCTTTTTCCATCCAAACAAGAAATATAAACCAAGAGTACATCAAAAGTGGACACAGAACACATTATGGAATACAAATTATCTCACATTTGTGTCCCATTCTTCAACAATTCTACGTTCAAAACATTGAAGATCTAGAAATACAAAAATTGAACATAGAACCATGCACATAAAAAATAAAAATAAAAATAAAAATAAAAATTATATATATAATGATGAACAGGATTTTATGATAAAGGGTCTGTTCAAGAAATCATGTAAAATCATGTCCACCTATGTGTTTTTTGTTTGATTCTATATGTTTTGACTTATGTTGTCTTTGATTTTTTTTGTTCTCAAATCTCTCTCTCTCTTTTAATTGTAAGATCATTTGAAAATCTCCATACATAATTATGACTGGAAGTGTAATAGAATAGAAGATGTAGAAATTCAAGAACAAAAATCATGTGCCTCATATTCCATTCTTTCAAAAACTTATTCTTACCTTTCTTAGAAAATCACAAGTATGGGTTGCAAATAAGATATCACTGGTGTTGTAACCCTCCCTGCTTCTTGCATAGGAGAATTCAGTGCCAACAGGGGCATCTAAAAATATTATGTTAGCAACCTGAACAGTGTCATTTGCATGAATTTGTAGCTTTCACATTAATGTTAATTTATAATCAAAGCACTACAATAATAGGATGAATTTTCACAGGGTAAAGTACATCTTACACTGTTTAAAGTATAGGCAAATTTTACTCTACGCTCTTCACTTAATTTTACATTTTTTTTGTTTTTTTTTGTTTTTGTTTTTGAATAGTCACTTAATTTTACTTTGCCTTCTGATTTTTATTTGTCCCTGTAATCTCTTAGACTTTGAGTCAAGTAACAATCGAGCATAATGGAAGTACTAAAGTAGTATTTTAGTAAAAGTATTAGAGCTGCTAAGGGCAAATAAGGGATTTTGATAAAGGTGTAGGGTACTAAATGTACTTATTACTATCACCTTGTCGTTCTCGATGAGTTTTTGAAATGGTGTTATACAAATAGGCCCAATTGCAATTGACTTAAAATTTAAGAGTTGATTGATATAATTAAAAGGTCGGGGGTAAAATAGAATTGAATGTAAAGTATAAGAGTGCAAAGTGATATATATATATTTACCTTTAAAGTAGTGTCTACTACTCAATGTTTACTTTGGTTTCTCAACCATTGGGTTTTTGTTAATGTGGTCTAGCTAGAGCATTTCTAACTAGTATGGAATGGCTCTCCAGATGTAGTTAGCTAATAGCAACTCCAACGCCAGTAGATTAACAAAAGTATATAAAAAAGGTACATTTTGTGATTTTACCAAACCACTTTGTCTAGTGTGAACTCTAACAACATTCTTTACTCCTGAAATTGGTTTGTCAAGAATGAGGCAAAATGTTTACTGGGTTGCCTATCTTATTTGAGCTCTACTATGTGATGAGACTGGCCAAAATGCTTAAAATGTCTCTCTTTATTGAGATGTTCTAAGAGAAGGAGAGGCAAAATAGCTAGCATGATGGTTAGGTTGTTGGAGAAGTGAAAATGAGGAGACTAGCTAAATTGACTGAAGATGTTCATTTAGTCAGTTTATTCGAGATGCTATTAATAACTGCTGTCTGGTTTTCTAACGAAAAATGTCACATGGTATCAACAGTTTTTTTCACTTTGACTCCTTGAACATTACATTAAACTTTCCTACTCTAAATGTCTCTCCTGATCGAGATGTTCTAAGAAGAAGACGAGAGGCAAAATAATCTGCATAATGGCTAGAGAAACAAAATTGAGAGGAGACTAGCTAAAGTGGTTAAAGATGTCCATTTAGTTAGTCTATTGGAGATGTTCTTAGTAACTGTTGCCTAGTTTTCTAACAAAAAATGCCACATGGTGCCAACACTTCTACTTTGAATCCTTAAGCATTACACTTTCCTACTTTGACCTTTCAAGTGTTACAATTTTTTTTTTTTTTTTTTTCCTTTCATTTGACCTTTCAAGTGTCACATGACATTTTATGTCAAAGAATTTGATGACGACTGTCAACTGGACCACATTGACAAAAATTCAATAGTTCAAGGAAAAATAAAAATAAAAAAAGAAGTCTAAAACCTTGATGCTTTTGTGTGCAAACTGTAATTTATCCAGCTTTATACCTTTGTCCATGAGTATGGGTTCAATGCAAATGTTGGAATGTGCCCATTGGAATTTCTGGAGTCAAAAGCTAATGGACCTACGCATTGATGAAAAATATATATATATTAAGTTCTGCTTAGAAAAGTCACATTGTCACATAGCATTTTTATTAGGGAAAAAAAAATTAGAAAATATTTTTTTTATGGTTCGCTGCAACCTCGAAACTAATATATCAGTGGTGGTCTTAGTTGTGGTCGTTAGGTGGAGGAACATGTAGTGATGGGGAAAGTGGCGGTGGTAGGGGTGGTAGCTGTGATAATAATGTGATAGCATTGACGAGACTTTAATTTAGAAAATATTTTTCACATTTTTAAAGTGAAAAACATTTTTCACCTCAACGAATCCTGTTTTCTATTGATCATAGAAATTGTTTTGTATTGACTTTCATTTTTTGTAGTACCAAATACTAGAAATGCAGAAATGTTTTTTACCGAAACAAATGGAGCAATACATCAAAGCAACGATTACGTACACTCATATGTAACGATTATATGCAAAGTTGTTAAAATTGGGATCCTAGGTGGGATCGTTGGAAGGGTTCCGTGGATCGGATATTAAAACTGGATCGAGAATCCTAATATTTTACTTTTAATGCAAAATAAAATAAAAAAAATTATTGTTAATGATAATCTATGTTACATAATTTAAATCATTAATTGATAAATTTGACATAATGCATCTTCTAAATTAACATAAATTATAGATGTTTGAAAAATGCGTTTGTAGTCAATTTTTTATATATTGATATAAACATATACACACACATATATACATATATAACAAAATAAATAATCAAAAAAAAATTGGTAAAATCAAGATCATAGTAAAAATTGAAATCGTGGATCATACTAAATTTAAAATCCTACTATGATTCACATCGTTTAACGCAATTAAAATCTTAAAATCATACGATGCAGATTAAAGTTATAGCGATCCAGGTTTTATCCCGACCTTTGTTCTGTTCCGAACTCGGATTCCGTGGTTGTATGTTGCTGTCTTTATCTTGTTTCCTCTCTTTAATTCTTTGAAATTGAGTTGTGGGTCGCGTTGAGTGAGTTTGGAACAGGTTGGTAGGGAGTTGGTACAAATGATTGCTGCCCAGGTTTTGGCTTCTTCGCTTGAGTGAGGCTTTTTGCGCTTGAGCGAGACTTGGGTATGTGCTTCTTCGCTCGAGCGAGGATTAAGAGTCCTCAGGTCTTTTCCCAGACGCACCTTTTCTGGGAAGGTGAAAGTGCGTCACTTGATCGAGGCTCCTTGCGCTCGAGTGAGCCTTGTGAAATTGTTTCTTCGCTCGAGCGAGAATTTTTGCGCTCAAGCGTGCGTCTGTGTTGGTGACAGACCTGAAGCTTGGCATTTTACGCTTAAGCGACTTTTCTTGCACTCGAGCGAGGTCACTGGTTGTGTCTGGTCACTCAAGCGACAACTCCTTCGCTCAAGCGAGTCTCGCATATATCAGTTCGTAGCAGCGTGATTTTATCACTTTTTGATCTCTTTCTCATTCAAAACCCTAGATCAGCTGCCTCTCTCTCTAAAACTCTCTCTCTTTCTACAAATACTCCTTAATCTAGAGTCCTT